TCTGGAATCAACACCTGCAAAAAGGGGAAACAGTAGGTGCTAAATTAGCATGCATACATCATGCTGAATTCACCATTTACCGTTTTCTTAACCCATGTGTTTAGACTGGGGTAAGGGGTTAACCATTACACAAACAGCTCTGTTGATCTGAAAGGCAGGAATGGCCAAAATGCCACTCAAACTTGGACTAATAACAAGACACTAAAAGCACAAGCAAGCACAAGTAAGCCTCCTGGTTTGGGCATGGTTTGCATTTCACTAGGACCCTTACACTGACTCACCTCTCCAGCCTTTCCTTACAGTTTTTTCTGTAGTGGCAGAACAGTAGATCATAAAGACAGAAACAAACAACTTATCAACAGTTTCAATCCATTATGTTTTACATAGAACTGCATGAGACTTCAGCCTGTACTTAATAAGCTAACCAGTTTTAAGTGATTTTTTATGAAGTTCACTTCCCAGGGGCACAGAAATGTTTTACATATATATATATATGTGTACTCTGCTGTTTCAATCACTGTCATGGAATCTAAAATGGAAATGAAACCACAGATATTCCGCACTGGAACATGAAAGCAGTCTTTTGACTACAAATTCCTGTATCCTTTTCCTGTGACATGAGCAGCACAGTCTAAGTTGTACTGTCACACTCATGAACAGAGACTGGGCACAGATTCAGAGATATATATACCCAAATGGCGGTATTTATGTAAAACTTTACATCAGCACAAGCAAGATCCCAGACACGAACAGATACCTCCCCCTTACGAACTGCTTCAGTGGCACTGAGCAGTTATTCGGACAGTTGTCCTTGACAAAACTCTTCTCCACTCCCTACATACACAGAAGAGACAGCAAATTTTTCAGATAGTTGTTCAGTTAGGGAAGCTGGCACTCACCACTCCTAGTACACACGACTCAACATCCCTGGAGTTAAAACACCTCTGCAAGTCCATCACTGTCCATTCTCAGCTCCCAGAAAGTGTTCCTGGTGGTGGGAATCCTGACTGCACGGCTGTCAGGGCGAGACAGACTCCAGACCACAGCATCCGCATGCGTCCCACACACCAAAGCTGCCTGAGATTTCTATATCTAGCTGATAATGTTCTTCATGGCTCCTGCCAGATTAGACTCAGGGAAAGAAATCTTTTCTGCTAGACAGCTAAATGAGGTCTTATAACAGCAGCTCAAGCTCCTCACCTCCAAGCTCTAGACACAAGAGGGTTCAATAAAGCACTCCTGTCAATAAATTATAATACTTACGAAATGGAAAAGCCAGTTTCACATACAAGTATTCTCTTTTGATTATGCCACTGCCACCTTCTCAATAGCAAATGCCATCCAAATGTCCTTTAGCAAATGTAAATTGATATATTTTATTAAAAGTGACTAACTGAGTCTTATCTGCCTGTAAGACCCCCAAACAGACCTCAGTGGTCATGAAGTTTAATGTCTCAGTGGACAGCAGAGGTATTTATCAAGAGATAAGCTAGCCCAGACATGACACCAATTCAGCGGTGATCCATCTTACAAGCTGGGACACATTATCTGCATTTTAATTGAACATCAGAACAGATGGAGAAGGGCATGCTGAAAACAATCACAAATGTATACATACATACACACTTTTGTTGAAATATTTGGAGAAACGTAAACTGGCGTGCAAACTCAGATAAACCAGCACTCAAGACTCATGGCTAGCGGCATCAGGAGCTGCTTCTGGTGTTATTAGCAGCATAGTTCAGGGCTGGGAGACTGCAGAGAGATTTTACAGAGACAGTGACAATGACTTGCATTCATGTACTGTCACTCAGGCCAACAAAGTATCCTGCATGTTGATTTATGAACTGTACATATAATATCACCCCAATTCACTGCCTTCCAGTTAACCACAAAGAAAACTGAAGGTTAGCTACCTCAACCACAGCTTAATATTGTACTTGTCCAGACTGTCATTTCTCCCATACAGCATAGCTTCTCAAAGCCCACTTGGAAAAAACAGAGGGCAGGGCGCACAGAACTAACTCGCATGACTGAGCTGGAGCCTGATGGGGCTCTTGAAGGCAGGACTGGAACTGTAGTCCCCTGCTCTCCTACACAGACATGCCATACAATTTCTGTTATAAACTGATCAAATTCAGTCACAAAAATAGTTCTGCTTTTAGCACCCAATGGCTCCCACTGAAAAGCACTCTCACCCTTACCCCTAGTAGCTAGAAGTATTTTCACTTCCATCCTCAACTCCACTTGTTCTCACATCACAAGTGTTCTCTGGTAGAAACAGCCTTTCGCTCTGCCAGGCTCCTTCCACCTTTTCCTCCTCACTGTGTGGACGGACACCCATTAGCCCTTTATATCACTGGTTTGCTACTTTCACCAGCCCAAGCTCAGTTATTCTCTTCTGGTCAAGAGAAGCTCCTCAGCCCACTAACTCCCCCAGGCAGTAAACATTTGTTGCATGAACCAAACAGCCAAAATTATACATATGAAGCCTCATCACATACATACAATGACATTAATAGTTTGTACTGGAAATATCCTGCCTCACCCTGATCAGAATAATTTTTACTTTTCACTCAGATACACCATAAAAGCATCAAATAGAATAACTTTTTCAGTGAGCATACTGACTCTAAGTTATTTCTGTTATAAAAACGCAGAGCTCATTAGTGGGAAACCATTATCATCTGGAAATTATTCTTTCATAGGCCTCAGCAAGAATTAAAAGATTAAATGTGGAAAGTGAAAATTATCATACGAATATGAAGTTTTACCAAGGCAGAATAAGCACTTTGACACCAGACCATTTTACCTGGAAAAAATAGCAGCAGAACTGTTTCCAGTAACTACACCTTCTATACAGGTTCTGCTGTACACTGGTCTGGTTCACATTCACATCCTGAAATACAAACCCCTGCCCTTTCTGTCAATCTCACGCTGGTTTGAAAGTAGCAGCAAGATCACCTTACCCAAAAATAATAGTGCTTAAGATACTCAGCCCTGCCAGCCTTTTTGTAAGAGCTGACTTCTATTCCGTTAAATGTCGAGTGCTTATCAGGTCACAAGTGAAAATGACTTTGCAGGGTCCCTCGGTAGCCCTGGTGAACCTGCACTAGAAATCATGTTAATACTGAGGCGCTGGAGCAGCTTGAGACAGCAGGGGATGTTGCTGATAGGGATTAAAGGTACTGGCAGAGTGGGATGGAAAAGGGAATTTCACCCCATGCTTCCTAACAAATCCCCTCTGTTTGGTGTACACACAGGAAGGTCGTATGCTACTGCTATATATGCTAACTCCATCTAAAAAGATAAACAAAAGAAGTGCTCCCAGCACCTTCTGGTAATTCAACAATAAAAATCCCCATTCCTCTGCTGCCTTTTCTGACTCTTAAAAAAAAAAAAAATTATGTGAGTTATTCTTTGCCTTCCTCCTTCCCTCCCCTCTAGCATTGCGAGTTTATAGCCCTAGGCAATAATTAAAGAGCCCTCATTTACATATTTATGATGTCTCAAAAATGGAGAATGTGGTTTTTTAAAGGAACAGATGCATCGACCTGTTACTTTTCTTTTTTAACCCTAAACATACTGAATCTTTTTCCTTAAACCATTACTACAAAACCCTCTTCCATGTTGAAAAAAAAGAATGAAATTATGTAGAGGGTATACTCTGCTATACTCTGTGTTGGTTGAAAGTTCAAGTTAGGAGTTTGCAATTACTGTGTCAGAAACTGGACTTCCAATAACGCCTTTAAGAAGAGCAACGTAGTAGAACATGGTCCCTTGCCAGTTAGTTCCTAAGGCAGCCTAAACAGTCTCTTAAAAAAATAATAAAAAAACCAAATGTTTCAACACAGCTTCAAAACACTGACATATCTGAAGATGCACTGCAGTTTGAACGTAAGAGTGGTTTCAGTTCTGCCCTGGGATGAGCTTTGCTTGCCACCAGGGATATCATCCACATCAAGAGCTCTGGTACCCTGGGACCAACAGACCATGGAAACCAGGTCACCTGTGGCCAAGGGAGACCTGAGTCACCAACTGAACCAGGCCTGACTTTCTCCCCAATTTAGACACTCTTCACATGGTGCTTTTCACTCTTCCTTCCCTCTCACACACTTCCTTCCCTCACCGTCAGGCACAAACACAAGCAGAGCCCACTGAAACATGTCACCTGCTGCTCAGCCAAGGGTGGCGCAGGCCCCACAGCCTGAGCAAGCACTGCCTCCCACCCCTCACCTGGGCAAGCCTGTACCATTTCCTTAGAAATCAAGCTTTTAACAAATAATCCTTCCTTCAGAAAGCCATTTTAAGAGCACAGAAGAAAAGGCAATCCTTCCAAGGACAGAGGTGAGGCAGACGAATGGCTGCTGTGAGAGGTGTTGGGAGGGCCAGTATTACACTGGGTTTCCCTTTCCACAGGTGACAAACACAATGCCAGCCACCTTCTGGGGAACCATGTTTGCTGTAACTAACAATTTAGAGCCACTTTGAACCCCTCAATGGAAGGAGGACATGAAAAGAGACACACAGTCAACAAGTACTACTAAGTAGGTGAGAGGAAGAAGGAAACTTCCTTAAGCAGGAATTCAATACAGCAGTTTTCAAACATCCCTCTTCCCCTCCCAGGCCCAGCCCAGCCCAGGACAGAAGCTGGTTAATACTGCTGACTGAGTCAGTTAAAAATAGTAATTTCCTGAGTGTCTCCAGTGTGCTGAGGGCTGTGCAAGAGGACAGACTGTTTCTATCTAACAAGCGACTTTGATCAAGCAACAAGCAAGATAGAGGAGGGCAGGAGAGAATTGCGCTGGCTAAAGACTTCGGGACTGTGCCGGGCAGGGAGTTCAGGGCCACAGGCCGCGGCGCCAAGAGGGGCGGTGTGAGGAGGCCCCAGCAGAGCTGCCGTCAGTCGGGCGGGAAGCACCGAGCGAGGGCACAGGCATGCGCCGGCCCGGGCAGGGGGCCCGGGACGTGAGGGAAGTCGGGGCCGCGGAGCCCGCTCCCCGCCGCGCCGGCAGAGGGCGCCGCAGGGCCGCGCCGCCACCCGCCCGCTTGCCGCGGGGCTCTGGACCCGGCCGCCGCCGCCCTGAGGGAGCGCGGTCCGGAAAAGCGGCTTTCCGTGTCCTGGAAGCACGGATCCCTAGGGAGCCGGGTGTGACACAGCCCAGCGGCTCTGGGAAGCCTGCCTCCTCCGATGGCAAATTTCATAAATATCGGTTCCCTCAGCGCCCGGTCCTGGCGGTAAAACGTGGCAGTCCAGCGACGAACCCTACCTAATTCCACTTGAAGTTCTCCTGAACATTAAACACCTCTTAAAAGAAGTTGTTTCTTGACTATCGGAACATACCTCCGTGTGTACGCACAGATAAATACCATAATTGCCTTAATTCTTCTTTTCGGCATTAGGCTAGGGCACATGAAAACCCGCGGAACGCTCAGACCTGGAGGCAGACCTCAGTGCGCCGGTACAGCAAAGCTCAGCAGCTACACATGCACCGGGGCACAGGGGCACCGTCCTGTGCCCTCAACACGGCAGTAAAAGGTCTTTCAGCCTGCTTTTCAATAACAGAATTTTGAATGATGCTCTCTTAAATATTATTTTCTGGGAAAAGTTTAATACCCATCCATAACACCTATTTCCCCTGCTAGATATTGTTGTATTAAAAAAAAAAAAAAAAAAAGGTGAAAGGCTGTTTTAATCATTAAACACTTGAAAAAGGAAGTTGTTTTAATAAAGCTTTATTTACCATAAGCTGCTAAATAGCTACTGCTGTTGGCTTTGAGCTATTAAAAAGGGCCAGATGTGAGACAAAGCAGCGTTTGTTATGCTGGGTGAGGAAGAATAGATTATTTGTGCTGTGCTGCTTTCCATTGTTGCTCTACAAATGTGCAGTAATCCCCAGAAGACTTTCTATCATCTCTGACTGTGAGAGGGGGAAAGCAAGCGAGCATGTGTGCGCGCCTGCATGGCTTCAGGAAGGGGCAAGCAGGTTCTTGTCATTTATGGTGGCTTGAGCTGCATGGAGTGGCGGTTGTGTCGGGCTTAAGGAAACTGTTTCCGCAGCCATGTGCTTGGGAACATTTTTATATAGAGAGCCCATTATCTGCAGGCACAAACAGCGAGCCAGATGAACACAAAAAAAAGCAAACCCACACATGCTTTTGGAAAGAAAAAGGCAGCATGACAGCTTGCATAAGCAAGCCTGCTGGACTCCTCTGGGAGGAGAAGCGGCGGTGCACAGAAGTTGCTCAATCATGAAGCACATCTGCAGCCTGATTACAGAAGCAAAGGTGGTAGGGCTAGCTGTAAGTGCACACACAGCACTGGGATATGACCTATGCTTAAAGTACAGACATAAAAATACTTACACACACACACCACACACCCCACCCCCCCACCCCCCCCCCGTACAACAGTGGTATCGCAGGGATGTAAAAATATCACATCTCTAGCTAAGGAGAGTGCTCCTTTAAGCCAGAACAAGTTGGTCACCAGCCACCACTAACCGTAAAGCACATGAACTGCCTTCCTGCACTAGCAGCCCTCACCTCCAGCCCGCTGGCTGAAATTACTGGTTTCCTCAGACAGAGAGCAGCATCTGCAGATCACAGCTTCAGGTAATTGCCCTGCTGCATGCTTGTATTACCAGGTTGTTTTCCCTGCATTCCACCCAGCTCCTAGTATCATCAGCTCTGTCAGCTTGTTATCATTAGGGAGACCATGGAGGGAAAAGGACACTGCAGTTTAAAACAGCAAGAGGTAATAACACAAAATTAAAGGCAAAAGTGCGTGGAAGTGTGCTACTGGGGAGCCGGAGCTGACAGACCTGCTGTAGTGCTCTTGGAGGCTTTGCACACTCCAGTATAGACAGATCTGCTAGAACAAACATTGACAGTTCCACAGCAGAATCCACTGATTCGGTGGCTTATTAAATGTACTGTAGCTTGCAGGTAAGAAATGCTAATCCTCACTGGGACATCTACAAGCAAATGAGCCATCCCTAAAAGCTTGCAGGGTTGCACTCAATTTCATAACCAGTGTCCCTGATCACTCATACAGCAATGCTGTAAACCCCCCTGCCTGAAAAATTTCAAATTCCTAATCCGAGACAGAATCTAGCATCTATTCCCACCTTTTGGGCTCAGTGGGAAGATTGCAGAGGAAATTGGGTGAGCGTAAGAACTGAAAGGGATTTGCATTCTGGCATGTGATGCTTGCTTATTTACCTAATGAAAGCTCATTTTTTTCAGAGGTTCTGTGGTAAGATGTGAAGTACTTGTTGAAAACCATTTGTGTCTGCCTACCAAATACTGCAGTAGGCACGAGGTGTTGCTAACATCATCTGGCTTACAAGCACTCTGAGGGCTAAGCCTATAGCGTTGCTATACATATGATCTGTAAACTTTTCTTGCTCTTGCTAGATGTTTATCAGCTACTAAAACAAGCCACCTGGTTTGGACATACTCATCCAAGTGATTTAAAACCTGAAAGACGAGCTACAGAAGACAACCTAATTTAAGTATTTTCTAAAGGTCCAGAGTAAACAGTAACAGTAACAACCCAACTGATCTGTACAAAGATGATCTCGGAGAAAATTTAGAGGAGGAATGGCAGCAGCAGCAAATATTTTTAACAATTTAACAATAACCTGTCAAAAAGTGAAGATGCTATTTTGCATTTGCTGTGCTCCAATAACATCTCTCTTGAACCAGACAGCCTGCTATATAACAAACAGAGGTCACAACCTCTTGGGCCTGCCCAAATAAATGCTCCTAGCAGGAAACATCTCAAGCCCACTGTGAATTAGAAATGAGAATGATTTGCATTCTGACACTAAACGCTCTCTTACTTACCTGATGAAACAAGGCATGTTTTGAACTGTAGCATTTGAAGGAAATTGTCTGCTGATTTCTTCTTGTGATGCTGTATCATCACAACTTACATTCCTCATTACTGGGTGGCAACAGAAAGAACATAACAATCCACCATCCTCAAACTACACTGCACACAATAAAGGAATGAGGATAGATTTGGACTGCTTCTTTTTTTCCCCAGTAAGTTTAGCATTGAGAAGAAGGCATACAGTCAAGGTAGACAGTAATTTCTCTTCATGTCCTATAAATGTAAGATTTATTCACTTTTTCTTTCATCCTATGAGAGCTAAGAAACTGCTCCCAAGCCCGGTGATTTCTGGTAAGCCACTAGGGAATGCATCACTCCTTCGGAGAGGAGAAAGAAAAGCAGCATTACCCTCAATCAGCAAAGTCTCTAGAGAACAGAACAACTGAATAGCTGCTTTGGGACACAGGCTCTCATAACTTTGATATCTGCCATTATCCTGGTGTGTTCTGATGAAATTTAAGCAAAGATTTACCCAGCTTTCCAGAATGGAAGCAAGATAAACTACAGGAGGACCAGCAGAACCCGTAAAAGCTAAATGTAGCTGAAGAAATAAGGTAGAAATTGGATGGATGTGATTTTTTTTTTGGCCAGAGAAACAGAGTAGTCACTGGCAGCCAAAGTGCGTTTTCTGCACTGCTTTCAGTGGTTACCTGAATGTGGTTTCTTTCAAACTCCCTGCTTATTTTGACAATGTAGTGCTGGGGGCTGCCATTTCTTTAAAATAATTTAAACTGAAGATATTGGACACCTAGACACACCAAAACTACAGTTTTGGTACATTCTATTTTATCATCTTCATTTTAAAGCAGCTGATTGGAGGAGATCCATCCGTATTAATCCTTCTGAACCAGTGTACTACACATTAAAACCCAAGGTATTTGGTCTTATTGAATTGTCCTGCAGACAAACGCCCAATATCTCAAGTCACCACCAAATCCTAAATTACAGGAAACCTTGCTGACAGTCTGGGTCAGATGGTCTGGGACTGGACAAGCAAAACAAGATTACTGTGTATCCCTCAAGGAAAACTTTTTGTACATATGCAGTGAAGCACTGTGTGAACACAATATACTGGGAGACTTGTAATGCGACTGCTGTTCATGTTAGTCTCAACAGCTAATATTCAAGCATCTGAAACACAACCAAAGTGACTGATCCATTGCTACTGAAACATTATGAAGAAGGCCAGAAATATTTTTGACATCCTATAGTTGATTTTGAAAACAGTGTAATTTAAAAACTAGTTCCAACTGCAGTGCCTTCATTCCAATAAATTCAAAGCTGCACATGTCCCTGCTATTTGACTATCAATAATGTAGTCTCTGTTTTTCCTGTTTTCTAAGTGCCCCTAATTCCAGTAAGGTGGAAATTCTTCTAGACTCCTAGGTCACAAAACACTGAAGGAGCTTTACACACCAAAGTCTGCTGTCTTCAAGAAAGATTTTAACTGAAAATCATCATCATGATCATCTGCCCTATTCGGTTTTCTCACACTCTTATCACTTGAGAGGACCTTTCTATCTAGAAACTGGTCTTTGAAAATTCTACCTTACAGGTAGAATTTTACACTTACCATGTAGTAAGTTTAGTTTTCCCAAGAATCTTAACAGACAACTCAGTTTTCAAAGGTTTTATGAATTCCATGGTTAAAAATCTGACACCTGCTCAGGTCACAAACCTCTTGGGATAATCAGAAACAGATTTTAGTATCATTTCTACTAAGAGCACAGATCTCATCAGCTGTACCTCCACTAGGTGTCTCACCCTCAGGTGATAGCACAAGGAATCTGAAACGGCATTTGGCAGAATACAACATACTCAGGTATCAGGGAGGTGGTTTAAAATTCTCTTGAGCATTTCAAAGCAGCAAATATACAAATGCTAAATTGGGCCTGAATAAAAGTTACCCCAATGGAAAAGACTAGGAATTGGTTCAGAATCCCCTGTTAAGAAGAGGGAGGCACAGTTCCCATCCTCAACATTGCTGTTTCAACTGGAAGGGCAGGAGTGAGCCTGACAACTTAGGAGTGACAGCTGTCTTACAAAATGAAGCAGGCAGACTTCCCATTTTTATTACAAAGTGAACAGACTCACTATTGCTAATGAATTATTTACAGTGCGGGCCATAAATTAAAATACCTAGACTTGTCTTGTGCTTTTCATACCACCTTCATTATTATAAAGTATCTGCCCAGAAGCTTTTTCCCATAACTGCAGGGCAAAGTCAGCCCTGTGAACAGGGACCTGAGCTGTTCTCCTGACTAACCACCACCAAGCACTTCACTTCTTCAGCTCTTCTGGCTTTCCAGCTACATCAAGAGCCCCTCAGGGTAGATGCTATCTCCACCAAACACACAGACTAATGCAAATCACAACTGAGACTGGGGCTACCATAAGCTAGTTTAATATAAACAATGAAAAGTGATATAATAAAGTCTTTTATACACACTACAAGGATAAAGCATCTAATATTACTCTTCCTGCAACTTCAAGACAAAATTTCCAACACTGAGCCAGACTTCCAACTACAGAATTAAATTAACCTGACAAACTTATACTGTACATCCAGATGACATCTGGATAAAAGCAGTTTAAGTCCAGATGGCATTTTCTTTCCTTCTACTCCTATCCTTCCTTTCTTATATTTTGTTTAAATGGTTATTACAACATGGTATACAGACCTCAAAAACCTACGTACTTTTCTTCTTTGCTCCCAGCGGCAACACTACAGCCTCCAGAGGTCAGCTTTATAGCCTTCAAGTTGTTCTGAAGCCCTGCCTGATTAGACGTACTCTGGAGTGACTTTCATTCTGATCAAATGTGATGTGCTGGCAATGCGCATACAAAGCTGGCAGAGCAGCCGTGCAGCAAAGCCTGAAGCAGGCAGGAGTTGGTGCAACATCTAATTTGAAACAAGGCATGGCTCCCCAGAAAGGAAAGAAGTGTCCCCATTGAAAAGGCTCTGATGAACTCAAGGACAGACATGTTGTTGTGACAATTTCAAACCTTGCAGAGAATAAAACTGCTTCTATCCAGCTTCTCCTCAGACTTTGCTCTTGATTTTTGTCATGCTTGAGTGGCTGCATTTTAACCCATTTTTTTTACCCCTGAGTAACCTGGGTTCATTAAAACTGAAATTTGAGGGATATCTTCTGAAAGATGGTTCATTTATTAAAAAGCCTAGCTGCCCACTGTGCCACATTACAGGATTTAAAAGGTTTCTGTCTATTGCATGGCTGATCCAAGCAGGGATATAAAAGGAAAGGGCAGGCTGGCACAAAACAGGCCATGCTGCAGGAGTAGCCTATTTGCTCCTGTCCTGACTGGGACAAGGGAACCAATTCAAATAGTTAATACCAGATGTGAGAGTTTCTATTTTTTTTTTTCCCTGAATTTGCTTCTCTTGACAGAAACTAAGCCACAAAAGCAGAGTTATGCAGTGAACAGCAGCAATTCCTTCCCAACAAAAAAATACCTCACTAACTTGCACTAATTCAAATTAAGGACTTCTTTGAGCCAGCCTTTCCTACCTTCTCCATGGGCAAAAAAGTTGAACCTGGCTTCTCTGTCCTTCAAAATACATTCAGACACTCACCAGTCCTGTATAAGGAAATTTCTACTGTCTTTACCTTTCCATGCTGTCTGTCTCTCAGCTGGTTAAGAGTTAGGCAGTCTTAGTTCTTCCTCCTAGGGTAATGGTGGTATTCAAAAAAAGCAGACAGTAAAGTACTAAATAATTCAGTGCTCTATCTTCTATCTCTACACTTCTCAGCTTGTAATTTCACCTTTCCAACTGTACAAAGAATAAGAGGCAGGCAAACACCTATATGTGTCTTCTATCAATAGCTGGCTTCTTGCCTATTAGCAAACAGCAAAGCAGCAACAATTAAGTCCTTAGCTGCAGGCAAGTAAGAATACTTTTAAAAGAAAAGTCTAAGAGAACAAAACTCACCAATGATTTTACAGGTTGCATAAATACTGGAGATGTATAGGCAAGTCGGATATCCTTTAATAGAGAACATGACAAAATCCAATCTCCTCCTACTTCTATGACATACCGTAGGAGAAAGCATGACTTTTCAGCTCTTTTCAAGTATTATTTCTCTTCTTTAGAAGAATAAAAATTATTTGACAGCCTTTTCTTTCTCTTACCAGCTCAAACCCAGAGGTATTACTGTAATACTATGTATTATGACCATCAAAAATCAGGGCATGAATCCTTTCTTGACTCCATAAGGTTTTGTCCAGAAAGGAAGCTGTATGCACAAGCAAGAAGTTAAGCCACATTATATGTAGACAGACTGTACCTTGAAGATCTAGGGACCTGGGCTTGCCCAAAAAGACACAAAAATAATGTGGACTGAAAGACATTTGTAACAGCAAGTGAAGTAAAAAAAAATCTATATAGAAAAAGACCCTGCCACAAAGTTTGTAGAGTATAAGTTAAGCAAAATGAATCACTTTTCTTTGCAATCATTAAAGCATTATAAAGATCTTTGTAAGATATTTAGTAAAAGGATCAGAGTTTATTAATCACCTACCCTAATTATTTAATCTCAGGATCACTGACAATAAACAAAAAAACCACCAGTTCTGTAACTGTAAAAATGCTATGCATTAGTTCCTTGTGTAAGATCAATTCAGTCCCTGAAAATATGCCATAATGCCACAGATAACAGACAAAGTCTGTGGATCCTGGATGACCTGCTACCCACCTGCAAGTGTTGTAAATCCACTGGACAAACTATTTTCAAGCTTCTTTCAATTTTATTTCCCATGCTTGCACATATTTTTTTTTCTTACTGCCATCTGTAGGCCTGAAAAGATTTAGGGGATGCAGATGACGTCATATAGCAATGTTGTGACTTATTTCCACTGCTGAGCAAAAATTACATACATTTCAAAAATGGTAGGTGGGAAGGTATTTCACTCAAAGGTTGACTTTGGTCTAGAGAGCCAGACTTGCTCTTTACTACAGTTCTGATAGTCCTGTCTCTTCTAAAGCAGAGAAGCATCACAGGAGCCCAGTTGCATGTTCTCTAGATAACACAGGCAATTTTGAACTCTGACGTAAGCACCAGTGTCCTAACGCACAAGTCTTTCCTTTCTTGTCTATCATAGGAAGAAGAATATGTTAAAAAGTCCTGTAGGTTGTCCTGTTCTAGCTGATGCCAAGAATAGACATTAATTCTCTAAAATGGTTTAAAACCAATTTAGACACCCATTTCCTAGGATGAATCTCTCATTTCTTTTAAAGTCTCTCAAGTACCACTAAGGACATCAGTTAGTTATTGCTTCCTTCCATTCAGACTCAGTATATCAGAGTTGCATCTTCACTTCCCCCCTTGTTTTAGATTCTGTTTGGAGACTTGGTCAAAACTCCAGAAAGGACTGGTTTACATTACTTGCACCTCAAGTTTCTTTAAACATCACTATCATAATGCAAATGCTTTTTGTATGACACACCTATTAAAGAGCTGGGAATTACCAATGGACTGCATAGCAACTGCAATGCTATGGGAAGAAAACCTGTGATGGGTCTAAGAAGCAAAGCTCCCAAGAGCTTTGACTGGCCTGTGAAGAATAATTCACTAGCATAAACTGTTTTTAGTAAGCCTCTCCTTGTAAAAACCAACTAAGCTGCTATTTATAAGGCTTTGATTAAATTAACACACAAATAGATATATAAGCATACATGTGCAGATACGTAAAAGGATGAAATACTCCAAAAAAAAACCATTTATACATACAAATGCACGCAAGCACTTTCTTGCAAGGTTGAACAACAAACCCTAAGCGTTACGGAACACAGGAGAAAAGTCTGCACAAGTGACATTTAGCAGATGCATTCTGCAGTTTAATTCAGCTATCATGCAGAACATGCCTAGCTTTGGCTTAGGTTTTTATGAATCATTCTACGTACTAAATTATAAAGTGAAAATAATGGGAAATAGGATATGTTTTGTATCATATCACCATGTCCCTTCCTACAAGAAACTGAATTTTTAAATTAGCTTGAAACATTAATTTAACACAATATGTTCAAGAACTGAGCAAACAATTTAACACTCAACAGAATAAAGCAGTATTTAATACCTACAGTGACCCAGTGGGCCTCCTTGCAGGTTCAACGAAGCATGGGCTGCCTCGTCAGGCTCTAAGAATGAAGTGGGGCTGGTACGTAGAAAGGAGCCACTTAGGACAGGCAGTGGCAAGGAAAATATCAGAGTTGGAAGGTCATATAAATTGCCAGACGTGGAGACAAGATCTGTCAAAAAGACAAACTACCTAACAATTTTAACCTATTGGCTAGAGCCGTCCATGTCAGCATAATGTTAACATATATTATAATCTCATCGCAAAAAAATCCATGTAGATGGAGGAGAACTGCTGCAAAACTCCCTCTCTTATCTTTTGTTTAGACAGCAACTCATTCTAACAGAGGCTTAAGGAAATATTTTCTCTGATTTTTTTCACATGACCCCAACATATTTTATATATTACAAGTGAAAGAAAAGTTGTTAACATATTAAAAGCAGAGCTGTCAATTCGCCTACAGTTACAGAGTTTATTGAAGTATCCATCACAAGCACCTCTGGTTTTGGACAACAGTGACTTTTTTACTTATTCCAATTGTAGTTTATTTTTAATAAAAGCTTTTCTGAATAGTCGCTGAAATACTTAAAAAAGGAAGGTGGACTTCTGCTAGACAAGATAATTTTTTTATATTTTAAATCATATGCATTTTTGCCAGCTATTACAGCTCAATCATAATTATGGAGCTGTGATTGTTCCTTAACCAGGTGCTGATGACTCTCCATTTTTAATGCAAAATCATCTCATGATTTCACTTCTGTTGAAATCACTGCAACTGTTTGAGGCCATGTGATTCTGCCTTGCCATCTCAGTGCTCCACTGCATTGCAATATATGGTTTTTGTCATCTCTCCCCTGGCCTTATTTGGATCAGCATTAGAGAAGGCCTTCAGGAAGGCCTGGAAGTATTCCTCAAGTCAGTAGGTGGAATGCTTCCCTGGGAGAGAGTATTAAGCTAAACCTCCAGGAATTCTTCCAGGGAATCCTGATATTGTTCATTCCCCAGGATTTATGCATGAAATGTGACAGCTGAGATTAGTTCAGAAGCATCTGTTCCTAATGCCTAGAACTGAACCTCCATGAATGTATTGCACATCATTTTCAGAAAGACACCTCCCTCAAGCTTAATCTCCCCACTAAAGCAAAAATTCAATTATTATAAAACTGACGTGTTCCTTTATATTATGACCCACTAAGTGACACGCAAAACTCAAATGACAAAACTCCCTGCAAGTTCCATTAGGTTATGCTCCACTTAGGGTACATACCCTACTTCCAGTTATTTTTTTATTCTTGGAGTGTAACTCAGGATAACTGACTTACATGTCAGTTTTCATAGTAATTAGCATGTAGAGAAGCTGACCAAGGAAGAAAAACAAAGTCAGCAAATAGAAAACAAACATTTCTGGGTTTCTGATTTTTTTGTTGAGGTGTTCTTCTGGTTTTGTTGTTGTTTGTTTATATTTTTTTCCTAAACACAATACAAGCAGAAGCCAATTCTGAAGGATTTGTAAGGGCAGCATATATTGCCTCCTAGCTATTCAAGCAGGCAGTAGGTATTCATGAGTACAGAGAGATGCACATAATTATGCCTGAATGATTATTTATCCAGAACGAAGAGCAACTGTGAAGCATCTATCACTCTTTGTTCCAGGTCAGAAGTTTCAGCTAGCCATTTAAAAAGAAAAATAGCATAATGTGGATAATGCAACCAACAATATACTGAGCACCACGAATACTGAATATATAAATCTAAGTGTTTCAGAAACACAGAAGCTCTAGAGTTAGAACTGTTTGCCATGTATTGCTGAACACAAAAAAAATTAGTTTGATTTGCAAAAGAGACATTAACAAAACATATTAATTCTTTAAAAGAAGCATTATATGCTTAGGGTAGCCATTTCCTGCTGCTTGTGATATATAATCTGTTTAATTTCTTTTAACCAGACAC